GCTTAATTAAGGATAGCAGAAAACGGAAATGCTCGACTTTTATCCAGATTTGGCCTACCCACTTGCATCGAATATCTCAGAGGCGGAGTATTCCTCTACGAAATATCCGTTGAAAATCGGAATCCTCTCTGGTCGTTTCATCATCAACACACGAGGCAGAAAATCCGAGAAATATGCTCCGTACATAATCCGGCATCTCATGTGAAATAGCGCTTCGGAAATAGACGTTCACTATAACCACCGTGACCTGAAAGTGGCTCCATTCTGCAAAGATCCCATGTCAGGAGAGTAGTGCGGGCCAGGAGATCCGAGTTGCGGCGGCGCGTCATGAGCGGCGATGCAAATGGTGTCGCGTGATTGGCACATGAAATACGGTCAGCCAAGATCAATGAATCGTCGTGCAGTGACATCAGTGAATGCAGTCTTGTTCTCTGCGGACGCTAGGCCGTTTCGGGGGACGAAGGCTGGGTTTGGCCCGGCATCAGCCTGTTCTTCAACGACTGTGGTCGCCTTTAAGTTCCGCCCTAAAACACCTTGCCTCCGCAGAGAGCAAGACTCAGTTCCTGCTTGTCGCCACAACTCGGATCTCCTGACCCATGTCCTCAGAAAGAGTGTACTGAGGCGAAGGCAACTTACTACAACAGTAGTGATGTTGAGTACAAAGGCTAAGAGGAGATACTTGCCCATAAGCGGAATGTTCGACGTAGGAGGTAGAATCTGAAGGCATGCCCCTTCTTCACTGTGGGAAGTTCAAGCTATAACTTCTTACCTTAGATACTAGTAAGAGAAACACAACCAAAGCGAGGAGGTTGATGGTCAACGAGATTTTTTCTGCTGAATCAGCCGGTAGATAGAAAGCCATCATTGATAGAAAGGCCATCAGCACCGTCGGAATGATCAGAATTACCGTGTAGAAAAGAGTTTTCCTGGAAAAGTATTGTTGGGCTCTAGTTCTTTGGGAGCTCTACCGATAGATGACTACTGCTCCGTAATAAAACATGGAAACGATTTTAGCTTCTTCGTCTCTTTCTTGTTGACAAGGTAGCCTGGCACGTCTGTAAAGTCAAGCTGAAGAGTGGGCAGGTGGTGCAGGCTTGAACAGAAATCAATAACAGGAATTTAAGGTTCAAAAACATAAGGGAGACGGGTGCAACGGCAAGTATTGAGGTCATGCCATTTCAAACGTGCCGTCTACATATAGAGGAATGTGGATGAAAACAAGGGGGTAGAGCAGCGGGTAGCTACATACCATTTGGAAGCTAGTACCTTAAGCTGTGTATCTGTGAAATTTGGCGAACCTAGCCCCAGAAGAAGTTCTCGAGAAATTGAAAAGAAGCCCGAGTGGTGAAAATCGGCGCCGGTTTTTCAAATCAGACGTCATAAGAGGAAAGTGCGCCGCTCAAATTTGACCTGCGCCGGACCATAGTTGTGTGTAAGGGTGTTCTCGAAATACACGGTGGAAGATTTGGTTCAGGAGCCCGTACAAGGAAGAAAGGAAAAAATTTGTTGTCGTGGGTGGTCCCATAATATTCATCCTGCACAAGAAAAACGGGTGGATGAAGTCAGGCACTGAATATCTGATCACAGAGCCTGGACCCTTGTCGAGCTTCCCCGCGAGTCTGACATCCCAGCTGCAACTGCTGCCCGAGTTATGTCCGATAAACTGAGGATGGTCAAGAGGGTGGCGCATGGGTACCTAATTTTCTTATAGAGTTAAGGCACGACGAGTACCGGATTTCTATACCTCTAGCAGTAATGTTCTCAGCATGAGATGTCACTCACAACTGTGAAAACGCACCCAGGCCTTAGATGAAATATGGGTGGTCTCGGACCTCGAGCCGAAACTCACAATCGTCAATTTTGTATGAATGCAGATGAGAAGCCGCCCGAGTTCTACCATGAAGTTACGTGGGCGCAAGTGGATGATCATCATAGCAAAGGATTCCCACATTGTGGCTCTCAAGCGGCTCTATACAGAGAACAAATCCGTCACTGTCGGTGCATATTGCCTGTTCCTCGGCATTCAGATCGACAAATGGATGCTACCACACAACTACAAGAAGGCCACCGTTGCTCGTCATAGTACCAGACCCCGAGTAACTGTATTGTAGATCAGTGCTGGGACACAAACAATACTGAGACCTGGGTTCAATCGCCCCATTCGCCCGTCATAAAGCCATGCGATTACAACTGTTCTATTCAGTTGAGAGTACTCTCCAACGGCATACGCTACAATGTTTTGTCATTTGCCGAAATTGGCAACAACAGCAATTTACCCACACTTATTGAAAAATCGAAGGTACCAGAGGTCCAAAGGCCCTCGGGGCACTGGGAGCGGGTCATTGGTGAAGGAGGGATTTACTCATCCTAAAGCTAAAATATCACTTTTCTATTTATTCTCCTCTTTGTTTTATTCAAAAAAAACCAGCGGCACGTTTGAATGGGATGACCTAATAATAGCACCCTATATGTAAGCGCAGTCGGGGATCAAATCTCAGAATGGCTTCCGCGGAGGTCAACCAAGCCTCCTGCCCTCCAGGGACGGTAAACTGGTGCCAGACTCGTTTTTGAGGATAAGAACACTGACAATGAGTTGT